TAATAGGTCAAACCATAATATGTCTATCTATGCCTATTCATTTTCGTTTTTAATTATTAGTATGTTTAGGAGGTAAGATAGAACAGGATAATCTTCTTTAGTGTCAACGTTAGACTTTCACAAGAATGAGTTCTACCTCTGATGATGCCCATCACATGTCAGACGAAAGCTCAACCTGTATTCATCCGAAGTGTGGGAGGATGTATCTTGGACTGCGTCGAACTGAAGGCCGTATTAAAGCCAAACGGTTGCAGTACAACTGGATGCAGTCATCGTCTTCTGGTGATATTAACTTACGAATCTCTTCTTCATGCACTTTCATACGAAATGTAGGTCTCCCCAGCGTATACAAGTAACAAAATATAATAGAGATACAAATAAAAAAATTCGCAGTGTGGCCTGAGAAGAAAGCAGGCCATAGTAGGCATTAGTTTAGGCTGTCAATCTAAAATCAGATAAATTGAGTTAAGTATATAAGTCGGCCTTTTGGTTTTAGCTAAGATTAAATTAAAGATAGTGCTCAATCACATTTAACTAAAAATTTAGTGAACTGACTATATTTAGAAATCTCAATGTATCCTTGACCTGGTTTTTATTCCATTTGAAGCTGTGAAGTGAAGATATTCGTAAATAATGCTTACAAAAGTAGGGATTAATATAATTTTAGTGCGTAAGTAAATCAAATTATTAGCTCAACTAGAAGAGTAAGCTTGATTATCGCAAGATAAAGAATTGTATTTACGGTAGTTACATTAAAAAAACTTGGAAAATTCAAAATGTTATGGCTTAGCCATTCTTAGACACACACCAGCCACCAAATAGAAGAAGCAGTATTGGTCTGAGACAACATGATAGCACGCAGGGAGGCCGGAAAGCTAGATTCAAGAGCCCGTTCAACGAGTTGGTGGCATGCAAAGCAAACATCGTTTGATAGCCGAGATTCGGAAAGACGACGCGAAGATCGAGGACTGGCCAATAACGAAATGTGCTGATTGATCCTTGATGCCGAAGAATATTCGGCTTGGCCCGAGCATTGATATGGAACCTGAGCAGCTACTGGAGCTTTGTCTTTGCCAGAGTCCTATTTAGGATTAGCAAAAAAAGGGCAAAGTGAATAAAAGGTAGAATGGAGACAAATGAAATATTAGTGGAATAGTGGAATTAGTAACAATCATGTAAAACAATCAGCAATATGGTAAAACTTAACTCATACACATTATAAATAATGTTGAAAGAGCAAGGCATGGAAATAGAGGATATCAAGAGGTTTTATATGTATTTAATAG